GCACTTGCCTGTCATGTGCAAGGCCTTGAGTTCAATTGAGAGAGATGGAGAGAATGGTTGAACAAACTAGGTTTATGGAAAAAGTGCAAAAATACCATAGTTTTTGTATTCCCCTTGTTCACATTCCCTACAATATTAGTATCTTATATAATCATGGTACAGTCATTAGAGTCAGGAAATCAACACTAGTATAATAGTATTTACTAAAGACTTTATTTGAATTTTATCAGTTTTTTTCCACTAATGTTCTTTTTCTAGCACAGAATCTTATTCAGGATACCATGTTGTATTTAGTTATTTCTTCTTAGCATCTTGCAATCTGTAACAGTTCCTCAGTTCTTGTCTTTCATGACCTTGATGCCTTTAAAGATTATTGATCAACTATTTTATTGTGTGTTCCTCATTCTGGGTTTTTCCATGATTCGACTAAGGTTATGTACTTTCAGTAAGAATACCACAAAAGTATTATTATGTCATTTCTGTGCATCATATAATGGGATTCACTATGCTTTATTACTGGTGATGTGAATTATTACCTAATAAAGAAAGTTTCTGTTGCTTCTCCACTGTAAAGTTATTGTTTTCCTCTGGTTGCCTAAGTATCTGTGGAAGATAACTCAAGACTATGCAGTCAGTTTCTCCTAAAATTTTCACTCTCTAATTTAGCATTCTTCAATATATCGGCTTGCTGCAATTATCCCTGTGGTATTAGCTTAATGATGATTTCTATTTCTTTCTATTCTTCTGCATTTATTAATTGGAATGTACTCTAAGGAGGAGTTGTCCCTTTCTCCCACTTATTTATTTAGTGGTGCTGGGAGTTGAGTCCGGACCTTGTGCATGCTAGGCAAGTGCTCTACTATTGAACTTTGTCCCTAGCCTGTGTTTTTGGAGACAGGAATGTAGCACAGGTTGGCTGTGAACTTACAATCTTCCTGCTTATTCCTCTAAAGTATTAGGGTTATAGGAATGAGCCACCACACTGCCTTCAATTATTTTTAATTATACATCTCAGGGGTACTGATTTTGCCATATGGGTAATAACCTAACAGAATCATTATTTATTTTGTTGCTCAAATTGTTTTGGTCATTAGGTACTCCTTGATGTTGATTCCTATGTACCTTTGACAAGTCCCACTTTCAAACATTTTTTTCCTCATAGAATGTTCAAGGCTCATCTTGTTCTTTCCCTACTATGCCTAGGTTTAATCCCTCCTTTAAGGAACCCTGTTTCAATTTACTACAGAATGGTATTTAGAAACCAAATCTAACTAAATGGTATTTAGTGCATTTAGAAATACATTAAGTATGTTTACTACTACTGGAGAATCATTGCTTCTAGGATCTCTCACATGATATATATACATGTATTCTAACCCATAAATATAAATGTAATATGTGTACATATATACATATATATGTGTAAATATATTAAAATAGTGAGTTCATACTAATACACAAGATTCCAACCCAGAACACTGGGTTTTAAAAGACAATAATGCCCTGGTTTTTTCATTGTGACTGATACACAAGCAGATGGCTGATGTGTGTGTGTGTGTGTGTGTGTGTGTGTGTACACATTTGTGTGTGTGTGTGAAGGAAAAGAGGTCCTGTCCATGTCAGGAATAGCATAGTGCAGAATAAGGATTTAAGATTGCAAGATCACCCAGAAATGAAACTAACTCAGCAGAAATAGCAGGTCTGAACCAAAGGTGAGTAGGAAAAAGGAATGCCCCCAGAGGAATTAGTGGTATATGTTCTGCCATTCTACTTTCTGCCCCAATGGCAGACATCAACAAACAATTACCCATATACTGACTGACTAAGCTAGGACATGGTTTCAAATTTTCAAACTTGTACTTCAGGCAGCTAATACCAACCAATTGGAATTATCACTGTAGATGACACATCCCTAGGAAAAGAAATGAACAGCTCATATAAGCATATTAGTTTGCAGAGGGAGAAGACTATTATTTATCATTAGAATTTTATAGAAAGTACAGAGAAAGCATAACTTGGTAAACAAGATCAAAAAGCTCAATTACATAAGATCAGTTTCTAGGGTCCAGCCCATGAAACAAAGTTTAGTACCATTATGTGGTCAGTTGTGACTTTTTAAATTTTTTTTGGTGGTACTGGGGTTTGAACTCAGGGCATGTTTATGCCACAGCTCTAGTCCTCTTTTGTGTTGAGTGTTTTTGAGATAGGGCCTTGCAAACTATTTGGCAGGTCTCGCTTAGCACCATAATTCTCCTAGATAGGATTACAGGAGTGAGCCATGGGCCCCTGCCTGGCACAGTTGTGACTCTTCATCATTACCTGGTTGAGAATTCCAGGAAAGTAAAGTGACTCCGGCAGCTGTATTATTGGGTACCTGGTTCAATGACTGATCCCATGAAACTGGAAATAATACCAAGGAACAGGATCACCCTTCACATCTCTGTTTACCAAGGTGGATGTACTGTTTACCTCATTGCTAGGATTCTCTCCCCGTTCCACATCATGCCACTTCCTGTATAGCTTCAGCTCAACCCAATTGAAAAAGAGTGCTAAATAGAGAGTGGGAGCCAATCATCAGTCAGGTTATCTATGAATTCACATGACGGTGAGGGTTCACACCTTACAAAAGTAGCTGGCCGATTACCAGGGAATGAGATAATGGGAAACGAGAGCAGCAGTTTTGATGGGGGAAATAATGAAGACAGTAGATAAGGAAGGCTGGTCTTGCAGAGGGGCTGTAAAGATAATGGTCTTCCCTGGGTCCAGTAGTAGCAATTCCCAGGTGAAAGGTTAAGTTGAACGCAATGTAGAAATCTGGTCTTTTCATACCAAACAGGATAGAGAAAAATGCTCTCTATATAGTTTTAACTAAAAGTAATCCAGCAAAATAAAACCCCCCAAAATCTATGAATATATTTTGGTCCCTGTGTGAGTGTATATTTTCTTTAATCATGTCACATGTCTGCTACTGTGAAAAGGTGAGGACCGGGTAAGAACAGGAATGGATATGATTTGTGCTGTCATGGGGTTGCTGTTTAACACAATAGATAGCTATGAAGAGTGTACAAATACTATGACTGATTATCACTGGTTATAAGTCTAGGGATACATTTATTTTCTTATTTAAACTTGTATTTTCTCTTCTTTCTACACTATGTCTTTTATATTGGGAAAAGGAATAAATATTATATCTCAAGTGAAAAAATTCTGTAAAGAAACCAAGGAAGTTCACATTCATCAAGCTAACAACAGCCTTACTTACAAAATAGAATACCAATTTTATTTATTCAGCTATGTTCAAAGTCTTACAATAGTAGACTATTGTGTTTGTATTGAGGCTATACAAAGAGGATTAAGAACCCTTATTATAAGGGGCTTTTAAGTTATTGTTTATGTGGTGCTTGTGGCAGAGGGAGCTGAGGGAATGGTTATCAGATAAGCAGTTAATATTTCTTTGATGAATAAAATAGAAGTGGACTAACTAGAAATGGATACATTTTATTCACTTGCAATGTAACTCAATGTGGCCTAATATATTGTATCCTCTGATGTAGGAAATGCTTCCATGACACTTGAAGTATTATCAGAACATTGCTGAAGTAATCCTTAGGGTTATAAAAGCTGAAGAATGCTCATCATAATATAAATTAAGTGTACTTACTGACTTTGTTAGAAAGATCCTGTCCAACCTATTAAGAGTAATGAAATGATAGTAAAATAACAACTCCATTTAATGAGCATTTACTTTGTACCAGGCACTTTGCATTGATCATTCATTGGGTCTTCCAAACAATCTATTTTTTTAAGACACAATCTTGAAAATCTTATGTAGCCCAGGCTGGTCTTGAACTTGTGATCCTCCTGCCTCTGCCTCTTGAGTGCTGGTATTACAGGTGTGTATCACCACAAATGGCTCATATGAGTATTATTTTTTGTTTGTTTTTTGGTGGTACTGGGGTTTGAACTCAGGGCCTCACACTTGCTAAGCATGTGCTCTATCACTTGAACCACTCCAACAGCTAAGTATTACTTCTTATCCAAAACTTTAGGAAGAGATGTGATTTGGAACTTAGAATATTTTGAAACTTAGAAAGAAGCTGGATTTTGTACAGTTTGCGAGTGAAGTGTCTTCCACATCTAGCACTGACTGGCTCATGAGGGCACTAATTTTATCAATGGATTATCCAGTGAGGAGTTCATACTCAAGGGGCTATTAGGAGGTTGGGACTTTTTAGTGGGAGGAGGTCATTGGGAGCGTGTCTTTGAAGGGTATCTTTTGCTCTGGCCCCTTCCTTTCTGACTCTTTGCTTCCTGGCTGCTGTGAGGTAAGCAGCTCTGCTCCACCATGCCCTTTCATCATGATGCTCTGCCTCACCACAGGCCCATAAACAATGGAATCAGCCAATTATGGACTAAAATCTCTAAAACCATGAACCAAAATAAATCTTTCCATCAAACTGTTCCTCTCAGGTATTTGTCACAGTAGGAAAAGTCTGCCTAACACAGAATTTTTGGAATACAGTATATATGCTATATATTTTGTAAAACTCAAAATGAAATAGTACCTTGTAATGAAGCACACTAATATTTATGCAAAGAAATATATGAAAATCCACACTAAGTGAAATAAAGGCCATAAATAATATTACACTTTATTTATATAAATAAACTTATCAATAAATGAAATTTGTTGGCAAATAAATTTATTGGTAAATGAAATGGGATAAATATAGACTATATATTCTCAAAATTTCTTCTTTGTTTTGTTGGTTTTGAAAAAAACTTTTTATTTTAAAGGAATTTTTAAATTAAAATTTAAAATTTATACTGATGAAAACTAACACATAACACATATACATGCAATAAACGTTCACTCTGGTTCACTTAAGAATTATGGAGAAAAAGTTATACCAATATTACCATTATTTATGGAACTAGTTTGGAGCTAGACATATTATGATGAGCCAGAAACAGGATTCTCAAGCAATGAAGAGGTATTACTACTGAGAGACTTTTAAAAGACTACCCAGTGTTGATTGTTTCCTTAACACAGGTTTCTGTCTCAGCAGTTTTTCTCTAATTGAGTAAATTGCCATAATCTCTTGCTCACTGATAAATGCACATTGTTCAAGGCCAGCAATTAACTTGTCACACATTTTCACCATTTGTTCTATAGAGATTTTCTGACCAGTCCTCATGTCATCATCGTTACTGCTACTATCTTCATACTGATCTGTACTTAAGTCCATGGTAGAAATTTTACCTTCATTCAAAGGATGCACAACAGGTGCATCATTGTCAATGTTCAGCATTTCTTCAATGTCAGCTTCTTCTAACTTATTTACACTTTCGGCTGATAAACTTTTGGCATATGTAATGAGTTTTGATATCATCATCTTCTCATTAGAGTCGCTAAATTCTTCAAAATCCTCATCAGCAAGGTCATTTTCAAACATCATTGTAGCCCAAAGTCTGTGCCAAGCACTTGTTAATGTTGACTTGTCAACATCATTCCAAGCATTAGCAACTGCATAGATGGCATCTTTAAGACTAAACTCTTTAAGGAAGTCCTGTATTTTCAGGCCTCTGTTAACCGAAGCAAGCATACTGTTCAAAAAAAAGTGTTTATACTTGCTCTTCATGGAGCGTAGAATTCCTTGGTTACAAGGCTGTATTACAGATGTCACATTGTGGGGAAGGTAAATGCTAAAGACATTACTTTTCACAAAAAGCTCTGGAGGGGGATGTGCAGAACAATTGTCTAGGAACAGCAAAATTTTGCAATTGTTTTCTAGTCCAGCTTGCTTGCAATGAGCCCGTGCTGCTGGTACAAAGTACTTATTGAACCAGTCAGAAAAGATTTCTCTTGTTACTGATGCTTTCTTGTTTGCATAATAATGCACAGGTAAAGTACTGACATCTTTTAAACATTTTGGATATAGGCTTTTTCCAATCACTGCCAATTTTATCTTGTGTGTGCCTGCAGCATTAGCACACCCTAGAACAGTTAACTTTTGCTTGGCATCCTTGAAATCTGTTAGTGTCTTTTCATTAGCCATGGTTAAGGTTTTTCTAGGAACATAGCACCAGTAGAGAGCTGTTTCATCAGCATTGTAAATTTGTTCAGGGCTAAGGTTTTCATCAGATATTATCTTAGCAAATTCATCAATGTAATTTTCAGCAGATTCATGATCAGCGGAGGCTTTTTCACCATACATTTTAAGATACTTGATTCCATGGCGCTTTTTAAATTTTTGCAGCCAGCCTTCTGAATATTCACATTCACTTTCAATGTTCAGTTCTTCATGGTATATTCTGGCTTGTTTCATGACCAATAAACCAGTCAGTGGCATATCTTTACTTCTTCGTTGTCGAATCCATTCAATCAGCACACGGTCAAGATCTTCATTTTTGGCTCTATGCAATGTTTTCCTATTTTTCATTAGTTCTTGGTTATCACTGTCACTGTAAAATTTTAGCAACTTATCTTTCTGTTTCTTTAAATCATATACAGTGGTGGTTCCTACACCATACTCTTCAGTAAGATGCTTCACAGACAAACCAGCATCAAGCTTCTGCAATAACTCTACTTTCTGAGCTATTGATAAAGACAGATGCTTCCTTTTCTTCTTCTCACTGTTACCCATAGGTGAATCTTTAACTCTTTTGGACATTTTCCAATGCACTTAATCCTGAAGACAAAAAAATGTCAGCAAACAACAGATGCATCTTTGATGGATGGATATGAGTGCTGAGAAAACAGAGGCTTCATGTTTGTTCACAGTAGGTTTCGCTGCCAAACAGTCTTCACGCCAAATGTACAGAATACCTTTGGATTTCAGAGTATTTTCTTTTTTTTGTCTTATTTTGAAATTGCAGAGTAGAGATTGTGGACCTGTATTAAAGATATTATTTTAATGATGAAAAGACTGAGGCTCACTTAGAATCTACTCAAGGTTATGCAGCTAATATTTGCCTGTTGTTTATATTCAGTCTCCTAATATTTGGTCACTTTACTGGACAGAAAATTTTTTTTGTCTGCCAAGATGATTTGAGTTGGAATATTTTTAGCAAAGAAACCTGACACTCTTGGTTGTGTGACTGACATAGTCAGTATGTGAGTTCCATGGAGATGTCTTGACAAGAAGAGGTTGGAGATCTTAAATTTACAGTCATTGAGTTTAGACTTTCCTTTTTATACCAACTCTATCTGTTTGGTACTTATGTGTTTGGTTACTTATTGCTTCACAGTGAGCAACAGGAAAAATGAAAGGAAAGAGTTCATTTCAGATATGCCTTTAAAACCTCCACAATTTTTCACTAAATATTCACTCATTTGTTAAGAGTTCTTTTTTAACTGTTCTATAAATTGTACATAACTATGACTCAGAATTATTGTCAATTTTAGAACTGAAACACATTTTAGGTATTCTAATAAGATACTTCCTGTAATTCAGAACTCAAAAGAATTCAGACATTTTAATGCCTTAACTTTTGTGGTTAGACTTATTACATGTAGTTTATGTATATTTCATGTACTACATTGTAAGTTTCTACTGAAAGACCTGTGTTTCTTCTTCATTGTATCACCCTTCATCAAATGTCTAATATGATCTATTACAATAGCCTAAAAACTGTTCATTCAGTCCCAAGTCTCTCTTTCTTTTTCCATTAGGTGGAAGAGTAGTCCTTTGGACTGGGAAGTCAACAAAAATGAGTCAGGCACAGTTTCTATAATCCCAGGAGAGTTTAAAATCCAGTAAATAAAAAGGAGAAATGCATAAAACCCAAAAAGAGAGATATTTGGTGAGGTTTGAACACATATTATTTTTACCTTGTTCTTTCTTATACTAGATGGTAACAGTAAAAAAAACCTCTCATTTATTTGGTGCCTCTGTGTGTCAGGCTGGCATACAGAGGCTAGCATTAAAAAGCATCAGACTCAAAGAGTTGAACTGCCCTTGTGCAATGTCACAGCTTCTAAGTGACATAGCCTAGAAGTCACCAGTCTGTTTAATGATAAAATCATACTTATATTTTCTCTTTACTTCAACATACTTTTTCCTTTGCCTTGAGCAAAGGAGTCTGCATTCATATCTCTTGTTTCATTATAATCCTTTCTCCACTTTATAAAAGAAAGGCATACCCTCATTCATCTGGAATCTCCTTTTGGTGCTCTGTCCTGAGGAGTAAAAACATCCTGGCTGCCCATTAAAGTGAAAATTCCAATGATTAGTTTGGGGCCAGCTTCCTTGAATAATTTCTCAAAGCACATAAAATCCTTTAATGCTTGTTTTTCTTATGCATTTTTGTCAAGGGTGAAGTGTTGCTTTAGAACCAAGGTATTTTGTCTGGTGTTGGGATATTCTGAATTAGAATGGGTAAAGAAGGTGACTGTGATTCTTCCTTCTTGGACTATGGTCAAAGAGTGCAATGTTCTTGAGAGAGATAGTCCATGACAGTGAACCAAAGACAGTTAAACAATGAGAAGCAATTCTTTCAAGCTATTTTAAAAATGCTTATCCTAGAACTTGTCATTAGCTGGAAAGAAAAGCACCGCTACAATAGCCCAAAAACTTTTCAAGAAGCACTACTGAATACCTAAGGATAAATTTTTTAATAAGATTCTTCTTAGGGGGTGTAGGAGTATAAGCTTAGTGGTACAGCACTTGTCTAGCATGTGTGAAGTCCTGTGTTCAATCCCTAGTACTACTGAAAAAAAAAGCTTATGTTCTGTGTGTTAATGTTCTGCCTCTGGTACTAAGCAATGAGGAGTACTTAGGCATGTCAATTAATTTCTCAGGATCTTGGTTTTTTCCCCCCACTATGAAATGAGACAGGCAAACTAGACTACTTGTAGGCTTCCTTTTGTCCCTACTATTCTATACCTCTGTGACTTAAGACTCATAAATATTCCCTTGATGACTGAAAACAAAACATGTCTAAAAATACATTTCTTTTTCCTTCTTTCCTTCCTCTGTCCTTCCTTCTTCCTAATATTAAGAAGACCCTGTTTACATATAGCAAAGACTGTATATTTTTAGGTATTTACTGAAATTGTTCTAATTATCTTACAATTAAGTATAGTATCTTAATGGCTCTCCTTAAACAAAAATAATAAAACTATTCATGATATTATTATTATCTCAAGGAATTAAAATCTCAAAGGCATATATTTGAGATGATATTTTCTAAAACAAAAAGGTCATGTTGGCATGATCCTGCTTCCTCCTGAATGAAGCTAGAATCCTAAAATAGTGCATCAGATACAAAACTCTGGAATAAAGGGATTCACCGGCAGATTGTATTGATGTTGAAAGATATGTATATGAAGTTCACTAGCACCCTCTTGTGATATTTCCAAACCAATGCAACACATGATCTGTAAAGGCCCATTTGGATTTTAAGTAACTCCTTTTGTTTTAAATGGAATGTTCCACTGAGTGATATGGTTTACCTATTTGCAAGTTTATGGGCAGCAAGGAAAGGCCTTGAAATATTAGTGCTGTGGTATTCTTCCTTGCCCTTGTCTTTGTAGTCAGATACATCTGTGCTGATTGTGGAGAACTGAAATTGTCACACTAGGTATATAAAGACAAAGGAACAGTTAATATACAGTTGAATGACTTCTGCAAAGGGGCAGAGTAGGAGACCTGTAAAGACATGGTTGCTGGCTAGCAGTGAGGGGTGGAGAGCTATTTGGAAGCCAAACCATTTTTTACCATTTTAATGAGCATGCCACTTTGGGTAGAGGAGCTACAAGTGCTGTTGTTATTGCTGTCAGGATATTGTAGCCACGTGTGCTTGGCCCTTGGCTCCTGCACATGAAGGATGTCCACCTGTGCTGTAAAACTTTGCTAAGTTGCCACCTAAATTGCTATGTGTGGATTTCATCCTTCTCAATAGTCTAGAATGCTCACAACCCCTTTTAAACAGGGTGAGGTCCTTCATCACTTGAGGACACCAAAAGTACAATAGAAACGGAAGCTCCAGCTATGGCTCTTAGAAGGGTCTTGTCAATAGAAAACCCGTTCTTGGTTACATGTATGTATGTGTGTGTATACAAATGCACAATTGTGCACACACATACATACTGGAGAAACACTAGGGTATTAAGAGTGAGGTGGCATATAAGAAAAACAATACTATAATTAGTCATTGATTCAAGCAATAAACTTTTATTGAACACCTAATGAAAACAATAGTTATATTTAGCTCATACTTTGAAACTAGATCTGGTGTTTTAAACCAGACACACACAAATACACAAAAAAGGATACTGTTACTGTTTTCAGTGAGGTCACAGGATGCTAGAGGGACAATGACTCCTGTAAAACTTCATTCACAGAACAGATATGAATTGAGCACCTCTTATGTGCCAGGCATGATTTGAAGTACTAGGTTCCTAGTACTAGTAGTAAATAAGATAGATTAAGGTTTTGTCTTATAAATCTTACAGTGTGATGATGAAGACATAGTATAAACAGATAAAGTAACCCCAGGTATTTTAAGTGTTATAAAGAAAATAAAATAGGTGAATGTGATAGAAAGTGAGTGGTTGGGGGTGAAGGGAGCAATGTTAAGTAGAATATGCAAAGATGGCCTCTTTGAGGAGAGTATAAGTAGGATGAATAATGGGAAAGAGTTAGTCATGCAAAGACATTTTGAAAGAATAGATAGAAGAAACAGAAAGTGTAGAAACTCTCAGGCAAGTACCAGTTCGGTGAGTTTCTAGAAAGATGGCTGATAATGCAATCTCTACAGGCTCAGGGTGGGAGTCTTCTTCACTAAGTAGGTGATGAGATCTTACAGTCTGACACACCGTAAATGCTCCTTTTCTTTGACACATTTAACTAAATAATGTTCAATAGGAATCTGAAAAGAACTTATAATAAAAAGTCTTACACTTTCACACATCCAGTCCTCCTTCCTAGAGGCAACTACTTTTATAATGTTTTCACTTCTTAATTATCTAGTTACTTTATACAATGACAGACAATTTTTTAAATTTATTTTTTATTTTTGAGACAGTCTCATTCTGTAGTCCAGGCTGGCCCTGAACTCAAGATCCACCTGCCTCAGCCTCTTGAGTGATAGGATGACAGGCATGTGCTACCATGCTCAGCTGACAGATAAGCATTTAACTAAAGAGAATAACTTTTTCTTCCATCTACTAACTATCTTTGTACCTTCAAGTAATGTAATTAAATATAAACATTCTGATTCTTCAACTCTTGACCCCCTCTTTGTAAGATGGAAATTATTATAAACCTATCCCTTCCTGCTGCTTCTCTTCTACTTTCCCTTCATACCTCTGCTGGGCACAATCTCCTATGCCTTACAGAATTTAATTCCAACTCTTTTTAAAAGTGTATTACAGAGTATCCTTTATGACCTAGCCTCTGCTTATTTTTTTCCCATCTCTTACTATTATCCACTTTATCTATACTTATGAAGAATGCATGTATTTGTAGTTTTTGGAAGCTTTCATGCACTCTTGTCCTTTTTATCTCATTGCTTCAGAGCTTTCCATTGCTTGGAATTGCCTCTTTCTGCAGTTCAGTGCAAATCCCATTATTCATTTTAGTGTACATACTACTTTAAAAAAATCTTCACTGGTAGGCTATTATTAAATAAAAAAAAATTGAATGTCTGCTATGTGCAAAGTACTAATTTAGATGCCAGTGATATAGTGGTCCAGATAGACATTCATGAGCTTCATT